CTGAGCTTGGTTCATGCCAAGTGCTTACTCATAGGGGATCGAGTGATGTTGTAGGACCTTAAAACATGAAGCGCACACGTAACTTAAAATATGTGTGGTGTTTCTCTGTACCTCTTTATCACTGTCACTGTATTTTTCAGTCTCAGGATACTCCTCAACTGGAGATGACCCTTGTGGGCGTGGTCTCTCATTCTCTGCGAACTGAGATGGCTCATCACACATCTGCATGGACATAAGGTCAGTAAACATGAAAACAAACCTGTTTTCATCATCACCCCTAAGAAATTTCATATCATTTCATTTGGATATTATCAAGCCTAGAAAGCATCTATTTTCTTGAGCTGCATATAAAATGTTTTCTTATTAAAAGTCATGCAGCTGCACCTGCAGCATAAACAACAAAAAGAAAAGATATGGAGGAAAATTGGATCCCAGATAGTGCGATAGCACCTTGTTTAGCCAAAAGCATCACTGACTGGGTGTTTAGCTATTTGGCATTTAAAAACTGTCACATTATTGGTGTGTTTCCTGAGATGGCAGCGTTGGCTAGTCTGTCAGGCCAACACTTTGAGCAAAATACTGTGTGCATGTGTACTTTGTGTGTGTGTGTGTGTGTGTGTGTGTGTGTGTGTGTGTGTGTGTGTGTGTGTGTGTGTGTGTGTGTGTGTGTGAATGAAGTGTAGATTCTCATTTTCATCATCCATCATCCAAACCAGAATTAACCAAAAGTTGTTGTTTTTCAGCTGCTAGCCCATGATCGGTGACAGCCTTGTTTATATTAGACTGATGTGATCATTTTTCAGTGCAGCACAAATATTAGTCAGTCAATCTGTATAAATACTATACACTGATTTGTACAAATTTCTTCTCTGATAAAAAGTGTAAGTTGTAATGGTTGTAATGTTGTTATTTGCCTATCTGTGCAAAGTCTCCATTAGCACTAAGTCTTGTCTCTATTTGCTTTGCTGTAAAGTTAAAATAACTGTTGTTCAGTATTTATTAGCTCAGACTCCAACATCAACATCATAATCTATCAATCAAACATGGTGGATCCAGTTTTAAGGCACAGGAATATGTGACCGCCTTCAAACAGAAACTGAACTGTTGATCACTTTGGTGATCTAGACGCGTTACTTCATACAGTCTGTTGTCACTGTATAATACAAAATCCTAAAAACATATGACAACGTTGAGAACGTACAGTAGATTTCTTTCTATGGAATGAAACATTTCAGCTGTTTGTTGGTGAAAATGTGCTAAATATGGAAAAGGGGGATTAAAATGAAAAGAAAAATATAAAAACAGGACAAAAACAGTAAGGACATAATACACACATCTGTAAATGTAAAATTTTATAGTCTGAAGTATATGAACTATTGATTTAACAGCTTTAATGTTATTATTCCACAGTGTTGATGACCCAGTAGGACCACCTACTCCCTTGTCACTCATTCACAGTGACACATTTACTTACACAATATAATGCCCTCATGTTATGTTATGTTATGTTATGTTATGTTATGTTATGTTATGTTATGTTATGTTATGTTATGTTATGTCATGTTATGTCATGTTATGTCATGTTATGTCATGTTATGTCATGTCATGTTATGTTATGTTATGTTATGTTATGTTGTGACAGTTTTTCCCTCCGGTTTCAAAAATTTGAAGGAATACTGACACATGGAAAGATGTCAGTATTCATGTTGAAAAAATCAACATCATTATATAAAGCTGCACTAAAGTGGACAATATCAACAGCTGCAGATGGCTCAAATTAATAATGAATGAAATGAAGTCACAGCACAAAACTTACAGTAACTAACAAAGAAATGAAATGAAGAAAAAACAAGCATGTCACTTTGTGTCACAGTAAATTCACTTACTGAGTCCTCTGTGGCAGGCTCTGGGCCTTGCAGCCGTCGCCCAGGTCCTGTTCACAAAAAAAAAACACAATAACATAGTATCTGATATGACATCTGTGTGTTGCAATACTTTAAACGTAAACTGTTGACCTCTAATGCTTCATTTTCTGCATGCACAAGTTTATTGCGTAAATATTTTGCATATTAATCCCTAAATAAATAGAAAATCGCATTAAGTGATTTTAGTCCGGTCACACAGCAGCTAAACAAAGTCTGTCCTGTTACTACAAAACCACAAATATGTCATGCAAAAAGGCACCTGGCAAAAAAATCACACTCCTCCGTTTACAAAAACAGCAAATAAAATGCACTGAACACGATTCATAATATTGAAATTTATTTAATTGTAGCAGATTATACAGTAATGTGCAAAAGTCTTGAGCCACCTTTCATGTCTTTACATTTTGATAGGAACATGTGAAATAGCTGCAGAGATCCATTGAAACTTGTATAAACATATATTGGAAATACAGTATAAAAGGAAAAAACAGATGTGTGTACAATCCTAATGCATATGAACCTCAATATTTGGGATGACCACCTTTACTCTTAAACATAGCTTGAAATATCCTCTGACAGGTGTCAGAAAAACATGATGTGTTTTTGTAACAAAGTGCCTAAAGAACTGATTCTTTGCTAAGTATCAAGACACTGGTTCATCTCTTGAGTTGGGTCCCTTTTCATAATTGAATAAGTCATAGGTCAGTGTTAAGTGGCTTTAAAAGACATGTTAAAAGACAATTAAAAGACACGCCCCTGAAAATGTTCAGATATAAAGACATAAAAATGAAAAATATAAAAAAATAGGGATGATTCAAGAGAGATCACTGTCCTTTGTCCTCTGTCCTCTATTCGTATGAAAACGACACCATGTAAAAGTAGCTCAAACTTGTGTTTTATAATCCTTTTGTTGTATGAATAAAAAAAAACACAGAAATGATTTGCACAAAGACAAAGCACAAGACTTCCACCCAGTCTGACCCCTGGCAGTTGTTTTGAGGCTCGGAGACTCTGGAGCCGATGATTAGACTATTTAGAGTTCTTCCTGGCAATAATTCCCTCCAGGGAGCTGCTGCCTCTGTTAAGTGATCCACTGTATTGACCCACAGATTGGACTTTGCAACCTCTCAGCTTAGCCCATCAAGGCTGCCAAAAAGGGAAAGTCTGACTCCAAATTAATCAAGTTACCAGATTATAATTATTACCTGCTCTATTCAAGTTAATTCCTTTTTAAATAAACCATTCGTTAACATTATTTTGAGAGTTCCTTTGTTTCAGGGATGTTGTTCATTTAAAACAAGGCTTGTCGAGTGGAGAATTACACAGGCATACAGTATGATTTCTGTAGTTTTATAGTATTGTTGACTAAAAAATATAAGTACTGATAAAAAAAAAAGTACCGTCAGTAGAACTTAAAGTTGAATAAATTAATGCTACATGGACAAACAAATCATTTTCATTGCAGGAATAACGCTGGTCTATGCGCAGCTGCTTTAGGTGTTTTATTTGGGCATAGCTGATATGTTGCAGGACAAAACCTCAAAAAACACTAAACTGTGGCTAAATTTGGAGCTCAAAAAACCATAATGAAAGTGTCAACTTCATTAGTGCAAACACCGCATCGTAATTTACAAGCAAAAGTCTTATTTGAAGCAAAAACAAATTATTGTAGTAAGTTTTCTTTTAAAGCCATCAATGAAAAACAGAATGACTTAAAATAACAGAAATATGTGCAACATTTGGCCTGTGTATATGGTAGATCCATATAGTTTCTCAACTCACCATCACACTGACACCCCACCCGCTGCATTACAGTAATGTATGTCATGTGAAGAGCTCTCACAGCCTGTGTAAGTGCATTAGAAGAAAGTTCGGGCAAGAGAGTGATGGTTTAAAAACTTCTTACTGCATCAGGATGTGTTGCTGCCTCAAGGTTAAGCCTTCAAGACAGTTTAAGAGCAATGAAAAGACAATCCAGCTCAGCTTTTTTTCACATCTGATAAAGTCATTGTGGATTCATGTGATTAGAAATAGCATAAGAGGACATTTATCAACATATATCTATTCATCTCAAAAGATTTTCTCTGTGAACTCAGTGAGTGAGCACAACACAGTCTAGACATGTTAAAAAACATAAAAATGTGAGAGTCCTTACAGCCGCCTACACCTGAAATAGCGAGTGAAAGAGAAGAATCCTTCTCATGCACTCATCAACATCCTTCTCTTTCAGACCAGGTCTGACTGGCAAAAATAGTAAAGATTTTCCCATTATGTTACAGCAAGCAGC